TATATATGGGTCATTTATACACATAAATAATATTTATATAATATGCATGTAATTTGAAGGATAGCTTTTAAAAATAATCCAGGAAACTAACTATATGTTTAGAGTTACCCATTTTTTTCTATTTTTAAACACAAACTATGTAAAATTGAAATATCTTATACTTTGAACTTTTGTATTTTATTTCTTTGCTTTTCACTTCTTGCATACATCAATACATTTTGAGTGAAAAAATAATATCTGAAAAAACAACTTGCAGAGGTTTTGAGAAAATCAAATGGGTATAGCATACAGAAATAATTGAAAACTATATAATCGTGCAGTAGTAGCGGAAGGCAAGTGAGGGGAATGTAAATGATGGTTATGACAATGATATTGATAAAGATGCTGAACTGTACAGCTTCCCTTCAATGGTATTTTATACTCAGGCATACACTGTTTTTATGTTTTCTCTCATTGATAGCTTGTAATATACCATGTTTCTTTGTACCTGTTCTACATAAAAACAGAGGTGCGGGTAAATTATTTAAGCTTATATTTCTTGTAAATAGATGAGCTTGAATTACGTCTAGTTTTAAACCTAAACTCCCTCTGGTATAATTGTGTAATGAAGCAGAATAAATGCATTCTTATATGCAAAGCAAAATTTGGAGGACATATTCTTAAAAATCAGTTTCTGTCTTTGAAAATATATTTCTACTTAATTATCTAATAATGCTGATTTGCCATTGTAAAATTTTACTGAATAAATTGGAAACACACAAACATGCACACACAAATATATCTGTGTATTCTAGATCTCTTTATACTGTAAAAAAATGTTCTCAGACTGCATACCTTCAAAAATTGAAAATATATTACTTGAATATTAAATACTGTCAGCAACATTCCTAAGCCAGTAAATTAATATAAGCCATTACGCAGCCTTTGACTCTTCATTGTTGTGGAAACACTTGAAGGAACAGAGACTCTCATGTACATTTCCATGTATAGGTACCGCCCTGGAGAACTTTGCTTATATAGAATCCAGAGAACACTCTTCTGGGAAATTTGATTCTGATTCTATGCAAACCG